CATGTGACTCAGTAGAGGTCTCAGGCACTTCCAGTGAAGCTTCCTATCAAGCTGTTAGAAAAGAACTGTATTCTCTTAAATGATGCTACTGAGGCCAGCTGCATCACAGCTAACAAAGCTTCCAACCAAAACTGCAGTTCCTCAGTTACACAATGTGACGACAAACATATCCAAGATCTGTCCATGTGACAACTTCCACCTTCACAATCCACTCTCAGCCACAAAGGTTGCACAGAAAAGGTTCAAAGATGAAGTGCCTCACACAAGACCCTGTTCTAGACAGTCGCAGCATTCTGCTGAGGCATTCTGCTGCCCTGGTCTTCTAGCATGAAATAAACTCTTCTTCTCTGATGAGTTAAAACAGAAACATACCTACAACAGAAGCCCAAGAACTTCTTCACCAGTTCACCATCGCCTACTCAGATAAATAGGTATCTTAAAGACAAAAATGGGCTCTTTTTTAAAAAAATAGTATTAGTTGTCCTTCCACTCCTCTCTCTTGCCAACCACTGAGAGCTGCTGAAACACCCTCTTGGTCAAGGCCAGTCTCCTGGCACCTGTGGGGTTTCCATACCTCTGTAAGCGTGATTCGAGGAAGGGCAGTCGCTCCTCTCTCAAGCTCCCTCCACACAACTCCCCTATTCCTGGTACGAGGAGATCAACAGCTGCAACCTTGAAAGAAAGAAACCTAATGTCAGTCACGCCGTGTAGCTACACAGTTCACAGCACAAGTACAGTTGACATTGGATGGCTCTTTGTAAAAAGCTACTGTAATTCTTTTATTGAGTCCAGGACACTTAGGTAAGTAGTTGGAAATGGTTGAAATGTCCCTTGTTGACAGGAGAAGGCTGGGAGGGAACTTTACAATGATAAAAATCAGTAAGCCTACAGAAAACCTCAACAAGTGGAGTGATGTTCCAGACTGAGGACATCTACAGCAGGTGGTGTGAACTGAATCCCACCAGGTTATTCTGGTGACAACCTGTGCAGGTAGGCAAGCCTGTGCTGGGTATAAAGACCCTGACAGCAACTCACAAGGAGGCACAGACACAAGAGCAAGTTTCCTGAAACCCTGATTTCGTTAGAGTTCAAGCTGTTCTGTTGCTTGTAGGTTGTGTTTACTCCAGCTGCTTCCACTCCTTGAGCTCTAGAGTTAATGATACCAATGGATCAATGGCACTCGTGCAAATCATAGTGATAAGATCCCAGTGTTATCACCTGTCAGGTGTGGTCTGGTTTTCTTCTCTGTTTTGTTTTGTAGAGTTACTTCTCTTATCTCAGAGCTGGACTGGTGCTAGAATTAAAGCCAGTGAAGTGGCAGCAGCACATGCTGGGGTAGTCACTCTTTTTAGTAGAAGCAATGTTTGAGATTGTCTCAGTTCATTTGGGAAATCAGACCTTCAAAGTATGAGTCTTGTGGAGGACAAGTTTATGTCTGTGTCCATCTGCTATTTAAGGATTACACTAGATTTGCATGACAAGAGAATCATGGGCTGCTCGGAGTCATGTAATTACAGGCATTCCACCTAGTCACAGAAGTCACAGAATCCCAGAATTGCCTTGATTGGAAAAGCCCTTTAGGATCATCGAGTCCAGTCATGAACCCAACACTGACAAGTCCCCTATGACTAACCCATGTTCCTCAGCACTATGTCTACACGACTCTTCAATCCCTCCAGGGATGGGGACTCCACCACTGCCCTGGGCAACCCCTTCCAATGCCTCAGAACCCTTTCAGCAAAGAAATTCTTCCTCACATCCCATCTCAACTGCCCTGGGCACAACTTGAGCCCATTTCCTCTTGTCCTGTCACTTGTTCCTTGGTTGAACAGACCCACCCCCCCCTCTCTCCACCCTCCTCCAAGGGACTTGGACAGAGCCAGAAGGTCTCCCCTCAGCCTCCTTTCCTCCAGGCTCAACACCCCCAGTTCCCTCAGCCGGGAACTCAGCACACTTGTGCTCCAGACCCTTCCCCAGCTCCGTTGCCCTTCTCTGGACACGCTCCAGCACCTCCATGTCCTTCTTGGAGTGAGGGGCCCAACACTGAACCCAGCACTCGAGCTGTGGCCTCACCAGTGCCCAGGACAGGGGGAAGAGAACTTCCCTGGTCTTACTGGCCACACTATTGCTCATCCAGGCCAGGATGCCCTTGGCCTTCTTGGCCACCTGGAAAAAGTCTACCAGCAAAAGAAATAAACTATGTCAAATCTGTCTCAAAGTACTTAAGCAAAAACTTAACTCTACCCAACTCCTGAATCCTCCTCCTGTTGTTTCTGCATTGGGGATTTCTTCTACAACAGGAAAATGACTGAACAGGCTCACCTGATGGTCACATCTTATTTTGAACTACTTGATCAGAGGCCCAGCAGAAGACTATCCTCATCTGTCTGTCTCTCAGTAGACTAAGACACATACATAGCCAAAAAAGAAGTGGAAGTGTGACCAATGGACTCACTGTGTGTTGAGGTCCATCTTCGTTGTCCCGCATGTAGAAAGGTTTGAGGTCGTATGGGTAGTTAATCACAAACACGGGAACTTCACCACAGTGCTTCACCAGGTACTTTTCGTGTTCTGTTTGGAGGTCACAGCCCCACTGTAAAGACAGCAAAAGGGACCTGGAATCCTCCTGGGGTGCATCTTGCCTGTGGCAAGAGACACGTCAAAATCCCTGAGTAGGAGAGATGTGAACCTTTGAATAACATCAAACCAAACACCCCAACTTCTCACACAGGCCACTGGGAAAATTTGCTAAGGAGACACAGAGTTTTATGAGTTTTAAGGCAGAGCAAAACAATGACAATAATACAGTTTAACTTCCACAGAAGAGGGCCAGATTATCTTGCATAAAGCCCAGCATCTGGTATCAAATCAGAAAAAAAACCCCTAAACAAACAAACAAAAACCCCCAAACCACACTCTGCATAGCTTAAGGGAAACAGGCACCTATCCAAAATCAGCTTACTCCATCCAGCAAACCAGCCTTATTTCACTGTTACCTTTGGTATATAAAAAGCAGCTTTACTAGGCTGACTGCTCTCTTCCCTGCTGTGTCCTGTTACATGCTACATTAATTCTCATTTAAGACAATCCAGGATCCTATTAATCAATTCTTTGTTGTCAGAAACTTTGGACATTTGCAATATCCTTCACTTCTTGTTTCTTCCAGCAATGTTGTAATTTCTGTAGCTTTTGACTAGAGACCTCCAACCCACTACAGGATGTGTAAAGAATATTAGGGGACTTGAAGGGGAAGAGTGGAACAGATATTCTGCAGACTCTTCTCATCTGAAAATATCCTGAATTTGTTTTCTCAGATCAAGGTAGTACAATATAGGATTTGAGGTTTTACACCCACTTGTACAGAGACAAAACAGCTACCCAGCTGGCTATGAAGGTGGCTTCAGCCAGAGGGTTATCTTCCTCAAAGCATCAGAACAAGATAGAGATTAATCAGTACACACATGAGATGAGCACCACCATGAATGTTCTCCCTACTGGTGTGGATTTGAAATTGGGCAAAATATGATTTTCAGAAAACCTTAATCTAACAGTGTTACAAAGACTAGCATGTGATTCTTTTTCCCTTCACAAGGGATTCCCTTTATCTATATCTATATCTATATCTATATTAAATGGTATTTTGACAAGGTTTTGGCTTATTACTCCTTGTCAAACTTTTGGTGGTGTCCTAACATCACTCCTTTATTTGAGGACTATTACAGCAACCTGTCTTAGATAACAGCTACTGAATCCACACAACACACTCGGCACTACTGGCATACAGGAAAGAGAAGAGCTTTTTGCCAAAGCCTTGGTCCTTCAACAGCAAACTCATCACTTCCTTCCCTGCAAAAGTTACATGTTCTTCTGCTACACAACCTACTCCTGCTCCTGCTCCCATTTCACCCCCTAAAAGGGCAAAAGTTATACCTGGGTTACAAGTGAGCAAACACGCCAGAAGGCAGATGACCTGTGAGAAGTAGCAGCTCTTGTGGTATCATCTACAAAGTTCAGGCTGGCTGTGTGCATGAACAGGCACAGGGACAAGCCACCAGGCAACTACCTACCTCTGGTTTGAAAGTGAAAGTTTGAGAAGCTCGTTTCAAAATTTCCACTGCTTCACTGTAGGAAATTCTGCAAGAGGGAAAAAAAAAAAAAGTCTTTAAGATAACTATGAAAGGAATAACAAGGAAGTTTTCTGGCTAAGTGCCACACTGCAAAATTAAAGAGGCATTTCCCCACCACCATGCCAACTTGTGCTGTGATGTCAGACTTCCCAGAAATGCTTCTTTGGACAGAAATCAAAAACCATTTTATATGGCAAGAACCTGTAGCTTCAAGAACCTTATGTTTTCCTGTGCTTCAGCTACATGCAGGGCAGGAAGCACGAAGCTCTCAAGACCTTTTGCATTATTGCAATGTTGCATTTCAGTCACAAGTGAGTTCTGTAGAGATTTGCTTCATAGAAATTTGTGGATTTGTATTTTTTTTTTAAGAAAACAACGTGCCCTCATCAGCACAGCTCCAACAACACAGCTCCACTGCTCAGCACGGTGTTAGGCAAAAACAGGGCTTGTAACTCAAACATTTTCATTTGACTTTGTAAAAATCACAAGATTTATTTGCAGTAATGTTTCTCTACTCCTCTGACATATCTGAGAGCAGATTCTCCACTGATTTCCATCAGTACAAAAGAACAGCATCAAGGCAGAGCACAGAAAAAGTGTAGTGAAAAATGCTGCAGGTTTGATAACTGGGAATCAATACTCAATGGAAGATACTTTTGCTGACAAGTTTTCTAAGCAAATGTGGACAGAAAGAAGAAAGAATAATCTCATTGTAGTAATTTCATCTCTCTGTATCATTGGTTAAATCAAATTATAAACCAAATTCCCTAAAAAGCATGAGCTCTTTACATCCAGCTACAAGGTTTCACCAAAACAGACTTGTGGAGGAAATATCTCAGGAAGGAATACATTGCTCCATGTGTTTGGGTTATGCAAGGCCATGGTCCAAATGAGGTTCAACACATGGAACCGGTGTGTGTAAGCC